GTGCTTGACAGGCTGACAAAGAAAGATTTCCAGGGATGCTTCCAGGCTTGGCAGCGGCGCTGGGATCGTTGTGTTCACTCCAAGGGGAACTACTTCGAGGGTGATGGATGAATTTAATACCTGAGATAAGTGTACGGGTTTTTATAGGCGCAGTCTGGAAACTTTCCGATCGCACCTCGTACACACATTGAGCTAGCAAACCAGCGACTAATTTCTGGACCAAAACCCAAACTACATAAAATAATTATGTAATTTGTGGCCATGCTTAGCGACATTTATCGCCTGGCGGAGCGAAAAATTGATGGTACTTACGCGCTTTCATCGCAAAGCAGCGCCAAGGCGGCAAATAATAGATATCTACGTGACATCACATCTCTTCTTTGAAACCTGAATATAAAGTTAGACCCAAGTAACAATTTCTTTTGAGAGCACTAACTTTCATTTGTTAATCGCGATATTATTAATTGATCTTATTTGTATTATTATTTTAAGAAGAACACGGGCGAGGAACGCGTAGTCTACTACAGGTACTTAGTCAAAATATAATTTATCATAAACGAAAGTTGGACGCGACGCACTGAAAATTCTGTGTTCTTGGCCTGTGTGACGTACGATAATTCGTCCATAATCCATAAATCAGAATGCTTTGTAACATCTATAATTTCCGTGCATGCAAAACAGAACATTCTTCACAATAGGAAGCGAATGTTGAGTGCATGTTCTCTCATTAGAATCAAGCAGACCCGTATGTCTCCTCAGTCTGCACGATGTCCCCGCCTCTCGGCTTATACAATATGAAGACGAACAATGCAGCCACCAGGGTAGCAATTAAAAGGCGAGGGGAACGACGTCTGATTTATGTGCCCATCCCGAACAGACACTGGGGCTGAAACATCGACCAGTACAACAGGTGACCGTCCGTCCGTCCGTCGGAGTGTGCCGTCCTTGAGGAAGAATACCGTCACGTGTTTGTCTCTGAACTCCAACTAACTTTCTCCATGCATAAAACCCTTCTTTAGAAACTTATAGTGGCTCAGCAAGTCAATAAATGTTCTGTATTTTATGGAATCCAAAGGTTCATTCCCGTGCTCAAGAAACACGCCACCGATCTCTATTTTAAGCCATATGAATCCAATTCAGAACCCAAATCCTAAAAATCCATTTTAATATTATCCTACCATGTACTAATAGGTCTTCTGAGTGGTCTCTCTCTTCAGGCTTTCAAATAGACATTATGTACCCATTTCTCATAACCCCATGCTGGCTACATGTCCCACCCATCATATCCTGTGATCATCCTAATGATATTTATCAAAGAATAATAATCACGGAACTCCTCATTATGAAATGTCCTCCTGTTTCTTGTGTGTCTTTGAATTACACATAAATTTGTATCTGAGATGTAATCAGTTACAGGTTATCCTAACTACATTAAATTAAATAATATTATACTCTTTATAATTAAATAACGGTAAGTAAAAGGTTTTAATTTTTATAAGCTGCCTTATCTCACTTTTAAATAACAGTTTCGTTCTTATCACTACTCTAAATTTTCCCGTAATTTTTACGGGCAATTTTCTGGTAGTAAATCTTTACGTCGAAGCCTACCTTCAATCACATAAACAAATGTTTTTTCTTTAGAATAAGTTTTTTTACGTATAAAAAAGTACCTATTTTGAATTCCACTTTAATTGGTTTGCCGAGAAGACGGAACAACACTGAGAGAGCGTATTATGTAAAATTGTGTTTGAAGCTGTAATAAAGTGAGTTTTAATATCTGCTCTTCCTTTTAGTAATGGCAGCGCACATAATTTAAGTCTAAACTGTTTATTGTTCCATTTCAGATTCATAAAGCCAAGCATTAGCAACAATAAAGACTGAATATGTTCCACAAAGGACAGTATAATGAGCTGGCTGCAGTCTGTCTATAAACTAGTCAATTCCAGTCACCGCTTCTACAACAATGAGCTTAGTACACTGGTCTCAACTTAGAAGTACAGACTTACAAAGTTTAAATTTGGCGGATCTTTAAATTCAAATTTATTCAATTCTAAACATAATTGATATATGGCGGCTCCCTTTATACACAGCGATTCTAATTTAAATACAATAATACGTACGGACGAAGACCCAGAACAAATCTGATTATAATATATGTAACGTGCATTGTGCAAGTCATAGGGACAATAAAATGCCTCATTTAACTTGATATTAATATGACAGAACGTACATTATAGACTGCAGTATTATAACGCCAATACGTATATTTATTTACTTATTTGCTTGTTTGTTTATTTGAGGTATATTTAATGACGTCGTTAGCAGCGTATATAATCTTGAAGATACAGCCATGTTTATTAGTGCGGCCTTAATATAAAAAGTAAGAAATTGTCACAAGGCCAACTGTGCAGCTAATTAAAGTCGAAAAAATATTCCCATAAAAATATCATTTTATTTCATTTGTTGATTCGGAATATCAAAAATCTTTGAATATTAACTTCTGGACCACATACGTGGGTCCCTTGTTCTCAAGACACGGCGAGTCCTTAATTTACAAACTCAGGATACGGCCCACCGAAAACGATGGTAACGAGTATGTTGACTAAGCAGTCGTGGACAGCCGACAAAGGGTGACCTTTCACTTTAATGACTAAATGTGGGTCTGGCTAATAAATATTTTCCATAAGGAACACGACTGTTTCAAAAAGTGTCAGGCGAGAAACAAAGGACAAACTCAGTTTTACGGAAGACAGTAACGAAACTTCCGTTTACATGAGGATGGTTCTGTGACTATCTGAGAAGAAGCCTTCGACGTTCGTATAAAATCCCTGCGTGTTGGAGCTCCTTAATTTTGACTGACGTAAAATGATGAAAACCTGGCACTGCATTTCCGTCCGCAGTGACTACTTCCTGTAAACTTTGTCTTACACAGATCAATCCAGAATTTTGTCGTATTCCATCTAAACTGCAATGACCCATACACCCACCAGGTACAGGGATTGAATAACCACCACTCTGACCTTAAAACGACACCCGCGCTCACTGATTTATCCCAGGAACCAGGTCACAAACACTGGGTTAATGGAAAGGAGCAGGTAGGGAGATACGAGAACATAACATGGCTGCAAGTAGGGCGCGGGGAATCTCGGGGGGTATTCTATATAAATGTCACATTCCCTGCCCTCATCTAGTGTATCTCGTTTCAAATAACACAAATAAAAGCATGCACGTGTGTGGTCCTGTGGTCTGTTTTGTCAATGGCACGTGTGCCAGCCGACTCGGCAAGACCCTGTCTCTTAAATACTCACAACGCAATGATCTTCCTGGCGTCTCCGCCCGGACCACAAAGTCTAGTCATGTCGCGTTCGGGAGTACTGTGTGGCCGAGTTAAGTGACCCACAATTGTACAGGATGGACCATAAACGTGTTCCTAAAACCTGTGTGACTACGGAAAAACTGTGATAAGCTGACACGTCGTCTTCAGCTTCGACTAAGCAACATCTAGCAGCAGCACAGTCGTTCTTCAGACACCGACAGTCACTCAACTGATCAATAAATTCCCCGCCTTTCATGGAATCCGACGATTCAATACCTGGTCTATATCGTAACGCAAATGCATTAAATGAAGTTAAACTTGTCTCTGTGTTCAGTTATGCGCCGCGTCACGAATACGATTGGGGAGTAGAGGTGCGTTGTCAGCTTCAAACCCCGGCCGCTTTAACCCCTGGGATAACGCTCCCGGTACTCGTGTCGGTCTGGGCGTGGTGAAGGCAAAACGCCTTGACCTTGACGGGAATCGAAACCCGCTTGTCCACCTCGTAGCTTAGTGACTACGCTGACCAGAACTAACACAATCCCGAGTTTAAATAAAACGAGTGACATTTAGGGACAGACGTAAACTACCTTGTTGATGCTGATCTTCTGGGTTTTCATCGCCGTGTAGACTTCTAGGGGGACACCAATGCTCCGGAAGAACATAATGCCTTCATAATCAGCCCTGAAGATAGAAACAGAATGTTTATACGAAACGCCGGTAATTACGTACAAATCCACACAGAGTCAACAGCGACCTGGGCACAGAGGTGAAAACCTCGTTCATAAACATCTCACCCGCAAGTTAAGATGTAAATGACTTAGATTAGGCCAGGAACTGGTAAGGGGAAGGACGGAGCGGGGTGAGAGACAGGGTCTGATTAAACACTGGCGTAAAATATGATGAAATGTCATCCGCCTACGCGCGCACAGTTCGTGCCAATAAAAATGTAGTTGGCCACACGTCGGCATGTCGCAACTGTAAACCACATCCATAAAATCGGTTTACAATTTTACGGCAACTGCAACTTGAAGATGGCGTAACCGACCGCGACTGGTTGTCATGACAACCACAGATTTGTTACTCATTTTCTGTTCTGAAATTTATTCTGATATGCCTGCGTCAGGCACCAATTTCTTCGAGTATCAATTTCCCATCTCGGCATACTTTTCCGAAGCGATTTGCTCCCTTCATTTTATTCAACAAAAGTTTCTCAAGCGATTCTCATTTCTGCCATGCGTGCTACATGCTCCTAGGAGAATGAGTTGCGCGGGGCATGTAACACGCATCGGACAATTATGCAATCGCACAAAATGTTGGTTCGAAAAACCTAAAGAAAAGAGACAACTTTATAGAAATGAGTTGATGGAACGTTAATTTTTTTTTTTTGTCGTAAGGATACAGGCTGTGAGAATACTGATTGGATTCTTCTGCGACCAGTGGGAGGGGGTGGTCTTACGCGGTGATGAACTTTAAGTTCAATAACAGAAGGAGGATTTTTTGACAAGCTAAGCGACTACAGGATTATATTACCAGAAAAAGTCTGGTACACAGAGTTGATTTTAAATGGCCTTCTCATCCCATCACCATAGATTCGACGAACAGTACAAATTATGAAGAGCTCAGAGTATGTAGGACTGCAGAGAATTAAATTATATCAGAGTTACAAATTTCGATTAATCTATTTAATCTCAAAAACTGGAGCGAATTTTAAATACTACAAATGACTTGGGGGGGGGGGGGGGTTACGTGCTGCTTTCGTGTGACCACGTCCGTATAAAGAGAGCGGACATTCTCTTAGCGTCCGTCACGAGGAGAGCCTGTTTCGGGAAAACCACGTAAATTGGTGTTCCAGAGCACAGGAATGCTTTTATGCGAGAAGGAAAGACCTCCTTTCTATCGCGCGCCCAGTTGAGGGACAATAAATTGGATCTCGTCCACTGACAAGAGCTAAGGCAGCACGACTTGGCATTTCGTGAGTAGCTGCCCCACCATTTGCCTGCAGATACATTTCTTTCTGCGGACTCGTTTCTCCATTTTCAACACATCCCGAATATAATTTATATGATACTCTGATTGGAATGCTGTTCTGGTGGTCCGGAAACTAGTCACTGGGGGCCAGCAGTTTTACTTTTGAATTCAACACATATCACTAACCCAAATGCATTATTTGCGCACGAAACCCGATTTTCCTAACAAAATTCACTGACTGAAAAATGTTGTTAATATCTTTATGTTCATTAAACACAACAAGAAAATTATGTTACTCGTGTTTTATTTAACGACGCTGTCATACCTTGGACTGTATGATCCAAATTAACAGGATGAATAATATATAATGAATTTGAAACGATACGTAAGGAAACGTTCGTGGTCTAATTTAAGTGAATATCCTGACACCCTCAGAGAAGGACTGAGGAAAACCATGAAAATCTCGGTAATGGACTGAGGAGAGTGGTAAGTTACACGTTACAACAGCTCATCACTGGTCTCTATCCTGAGCCGGATTAATCCAATCCATCATCAAAACCTATTCCCCTGAGATCCATTTTAATATTATTTTCCCATCTGCGCCTATGCTTACAAAAGCACAAAAATTAATGCTATCATAAGACAGACAAATTCAGTGTACATCATACATTCCACTTCTTTTAGATCCAGTCTAATATTATCGTCGCATCGACTCCTGTATTTTAGAGGCAGTGCCTCTCCTTCAGGTTTACCTATCAAAAATTTACACGGATTTCTCGTTTCTCTGACGTGTGCTACACATTTGAAACGTGTGTACGTATATGTCTACGTTCCTACGCTGATTTAAACATTTTTCTCCCTCGTTTTATCTAGCGATGCGTCGAAGTAACTCACAAACACACTCATCTCAGTGTGCCGAGCGTTACATGCCACATTAATTTCACCGCGGTCTGCCTCGGGCCACTAGAAGCGGCACAGTCCTAAACTAGCTCAGGCGTTAAAAGACGTGCCACATTTCGGGAATGGTTTTAGTGAGACCACGTGCTATATGGACATCAGATAAGCGATCCATTGCAACGCGGGCTTAAACCCCCCCCCAGTACCGCTAAAAGGAGTATTTCAGCTGGGGTCAACTGTTGAGATAACCCATTAAATTTTTAATTACGCGACGAGATCAGATTACGAATGAGGAACGTAAAGTGTTTCTTCCACGAAAAATGAATCTCACTAACCAGTAACAAGAATAATAAAGAAGTGTCCTTCCTGCTAGATGCTTGCGCGTATAAAAACAGCTTGGAACTTTCTACGAGTGACACAAAAGATGTCAACCATTCATCTGGAGAGACGCCCTTGAATTCAGTTAGTCGTGTCTAGTGAAAATATAACTTTTGGCGATGTCACCACACGTGATTGTATTAGCTTCTCTGTGCCAAGATCAGTGGCGGAATGGTCACAGGAATACATACCCAAATGGTTATTTTATTTCTTGCTTATTTAACGACGCTTCCAGCAGCTATGATTTCACAGGGTCAAATGATTAATATACGATGTATTTGAACGGGGCATTGAAGGAAACGTTAGTGGCTTTATTTAAAACATTTGCCTGGACGTACTGAGACGAACAAAAATTAAAACTTCCTCAGGTCGGAGGGCCGAGAACTGTACCCTGAACTTCCCGATTACGAAAGAGGAATTCTAACCACTCGGTCACTCAATACGGCCGTCGACAGACTATGCCGGTGTTTTGATTTTCTTCAGTTTCTCCAGATATTTGCAAGGCTGCTTCTCCCAACATCATTTGATACTCATCATTCAATAACCGTTAAAATCATTCACGTATAACCTATAAAATTTATAAAACGTCGTTAAATGACTTAACAAATTAATTAAAACAGCGATTCTGAATATTTTGTGATTCAGAGGTAAAAATAGCAGTGGTTTTTCGAAAACCTAATATCTGTCTGTCCTTCTCACTTCGTACAATAATTTACAATTTAAATATTTACGAATTTTCAAGTTCTCATTGGCATAGATTAATATAAATTTAGGGCTGCAAGAAAGGTCGGTTTTTTGCTGACTAGCTGAGCACCTATAAGCTTCTCAAGAAGGGCACTGTTCCACGTGGTAAGGGATTATATAGTTAAATACATTGTTTAACAACGACTTCACAGAACAAAAGTCTTTGATTTACGCGTTTTAGTGTCACGCGGTGTTTTTCGAGCAACGAAGTTACTGCGTTAATGACGGCGTATCTTATTGGTTTAACGCACACTGACTTATATAAATAGCCCGTCTGATGTCTAAATGGATTTTATTAATGTCAAGAGCCGAACACTCACCCCTGCCAGCAGACACCAGCGTCCTCTCTGACGTCACTTGCGCCGTCTCGTTCTTCTGAATTAATTTCATCGTGGATTGGAAGCTCCGCCTCCAAGTCTGTGGAAAGAACAAAATTTCAAGTTGTTGGAAAATGGAACAAAGGAAAATTAAAAACAAACTAAACTGAGAAGTCTTAACTGCATGATGATTAGCTTTGTAATTTGTAATCTTATGTTAATCATTCAAAAGCCACGTGCCACCTACTTTAAAAATCAATAAATGTGTTTTTTTGACGTAAATACGTCTATAAGGAAGGGTCATTCGGCAAAAAAGGGGAACAAAAAAGGGAAACGAAAAAGTGTAACAAGTGTACCTAGGAAACATCGTGTTTACTCGGAATTGTTGTTACCTAGGAAACGTCATCTGTTTACTCGGCATTGTTGTTACCTATAAAACATTACATTACCTTACATTACCTTACCTTACCTTACCTTACCTTACCTTACCTTACCTTACCTTACCTTACCTTACCTTACCTTACCTTACCTTACCTTACCTTACCTTACCTTACCTTACCTTACCTTACCTTACCTTACCTTACCTTACCTTACCTTACCTTACCTTACCTTACCTTACCTTACCTTACATTACATTACATTACATTTCATTACATTACATTACATTACTTTACATTACATTCAGCTACCACAGACCCATCTTAAGCGTAACTAATTCAAGTTGAATAAGCAATGTCTTAACAAACTTATCTCAATTGTAAAGCATGTATAAAGGAAATATTTAGAATAAAGTCAATATATAAACTTCCTTGCCGTATGGACGTATTTACGTCAAATTCTCCGGAACCGTGGTTCCACTATCACTTTTTACTTATGGGTTTCATATCATTCTCACAATAAATAGCGAGCCCTGAAGGTGAATGGGGGGCATGGTGACAGCGGTAGGAATTATCCTTGCAGAGAAAACTAGTGGACCGAAGATCCCACGAAGAAGGAAGCAAAAATGTAAGACATAAGCTTACTGAAAACTACTAAACGGTACCTGGACTATTTTTTTTAAACTAGTTAATTCTTCATCAAGCATGGTAACGACAGAATCAAAGAGACAACCTGAACGTATTGAAGAGTCAGTCCAACACTGTTCACCGGAGGCAGAGTCGCATGGCACTTGAAGACGGTCAGAGCTGTTAGCATATTATTGAGTTAGGAGCTAGTCAGGCCCTTGACGTGCTGAAGTGTTTGCTGTGTGTTGCGCCTCACAGCAGTAAGCTGTCCGTCACTCCTCTATTGCCCACCTGCAAGGCAACGCAACATCTTAACCTCTGGGACACGTTCACACATTAATTAATCACATCCCATACCCAGTTTTACAAATACAACCCGTATTCTTAACCCTTCAAAGGCCGGGCATGGCTGCACGCTTTAAAAATCATTTGAATGAATGGGTCTTGTATGATTCTTACTCTAAACAATGATTATTTCCTTAAACAGCAACCCTCCCCCCTCGTGTCGCCCTCCTTAATTTTGTCGCCCTATTCTATGAAGAATAAAAATTATTAGTCTTTTTGTAGCATCTCATCTCTTCATCTCTCTCAGGTCCAAATATTCTCCTAAGCTCCCTGTTCTCGAACATAGTCCATCTGTATTCTTCCCTTAACATTAGAGACCAGGTTTCACACCCATACAAAACAAAAATTAATTATATTTTATAACGACCTGCTTGAGATATTCAAGAAGTACTATAAGTAAGGTTATGTTGTCTTCCAGGATGTTGCGCCATGCAGACTTGTCGACGTTTCAGAACTGCTCGACAGTTCCAGAACTATTTGCATTCAGTGTATCACACGCGGAGTCTAGTTCATAACTATCTCTCCAACCTTCTTGACCCGTTTTATGTGTCCTGGCCTCTACGAATCTCGTACACGCAAGGACACTCATGTTTATCATAATACCTAGTGCATCGTGCCTTACACGGTTCCATCGTACGAAATGTGGGTGGGCCAGCGCTCTTTTGTAAGTTTGAACACAAAAAGGATACTTTAGTTTCTTTTTATGAAGGCAAAATGTCTTTCGTTGATGTTCGCCGTTCTTTATTCCCGTAACACCTCGTTGGCTGTTTTATTTCCATGTCGACCGGAGATTCAAAAGTGTTCCAGGTTGGCCAGTGGAACGCAAAGTGGCTGGTCTTCTTGATCTTGTTTTGTTTTATGGAACAGGCTAAGTAATGGGCTAATGTAGCATTGTTCCTTGGGCAATCACATGCCGACTGCACTATGATCTTACTTCAAGCATAAGTGGCATACGTCAGAGTTCGACCAGAAGACTACTGATTATGGGGACGGACCTGGACCCTGAGTCGTCGATTTTTAATAAACTGAGACAGCTGATATACACAAAAATGGTTTGTTCATATCAGTCGCCGTGAGAGCTTCTGATAATACAGAAATATATAAAACAGGCATCAGAAACTCTCGGGCGCCGCGGGGAGGAGTGTGAAATATCTTGTAAACTGAAATACATACTCCGGGCTGTGGGACCTCTGACTGACTGCGACCGAAATGCGGAGTGAGATTTGTGGTTCTCATGGACATGAAAGAATGGGATGTGGTCCACTGGGTTGAACGTCCACACGAATGACGAAGTAGAACATAGGCTGAGAGGAAAGGTTTCTTCCTTCTTTACTCTTTTCTTTCTTGTCCTCTCCTTCCTTCCTCTCTCCGATTGTTCCGTTCTCCTTCTCTCGATCCTTTCTCCTCTCTTCCTTCCATTCTCAATTCCTTTCTTCAAGTCTCTTACTTTTTTGCAATTTGTTCCTTATTTTCCTTAGTCTCATTTTCTATCTTTCTTTCTCTCTTTCTTCATTTTCTTCTCTTTTACACGTGTACTTGTATTTCATCCGTTCTATCTTCCAATTTCCACCCTTTTTCCTCTTCTGTTCGCAACTTTCTTTCAGCAGATGGTCCACTTTTGCACTACGTGCGATCACACTGCCCTGTGATTCACGCAGGAGGGTGGTCACGGAGTTTTTGAAATTCGGTGTAGCCCATCAAACGCAGCGTCGTATCATAAAGCTACTTACAGCTCTAATGCGACCAGCGCTTGCACACTGACCCCTCTCTGCCAAACGCTGATTTCGTTAATGAAGACTCATGAATCACAGGAGTGCTGTTTGTTCAGGGGAAAAACAGCTGTGGCGACTGCGCACTTGAGCGCGGCAATTGCCGGTCGACCCCGTTCATGTCCTCTCGTAAAAACAATTCAGGATACTATAAAATATGACCCCAAAGACCTGAAAACAAGAAGATGACTGTCTCTGCTGTGATGTGCCGTGTAGTAGTCTTGGTGAATACTGACTGGCGTTTCGGAGGACTTTGCAGATTCTATCAGCACGGCTATCATTTTACAAGGAGCATCACAGACGACATTTATGTAGCAGCGGCAGCAGTTGAAATTATTAACAGATTTCAGCAGCTGCAGTCACAAACAAAACTAATTGCTATGGTCGCATTTGTGAGCAAAAGAGTTTTCTGTGGAAACATTATTTAATTACTGTTCTGATGCATGTGTTATAAAATAACCGAGAACTTTAAACCACTGGCATTTAACTAATATTTCAAAACTGTGTTTCCTCAGAAAGAGCAACGAATCATACGACTATTTGAATGAAATTTAGAAACAATTCAAATTAATATTTATGGATATTTTGTGATTCTTGCGAAAACGTCAGGTGATCGCACTTTAAGATCGCTGCTCTGGGTCAAGAGATGACTTATGTAGGACCACAGAAATGTGGTACTCACGTGGAGCAATTTCGGAACATTGCGGTAGGTGGAAGGACCTCCACGAATAATTACCAGCGATCGCATCTCACGGAGGCAACAGAGATTGACCTCTAGAGGTCCTGTAATTCAAGAAGAATGGATGGGTTTTTGTAAAGTAAAGAATCACTGATCTAAATTATTTGTTTAAAGTTAAACGCTGCTAAATAAACTGATTCAAATACAAGAATAAGTAAGGCTGAGTTTTACAATAGCCAATTGCTCACAAGAAGAATCCGTCACGAAGTTTGACAATACCCAATAAATCAAAATGTAAGCCTATTTGAGATTAAAGCCTTTTATCCCACGAAGCAGACCATTAAGACGTCTGGCAACACAGAGGCCCAGACCCAATCTCAAAATATTGGGTCTAAAATTTGTGGTGATTAAAATTGGCAATTGAAAAGGCTTTTGTGAACACGTTAATGAACCTGCCGAAACAATAGAAACAGAAAATTTCCCAATTCCTCCTCGGCTCTGGGGCCCCAGGGGGTTAAAGCTGTCGGTGCCTGAAGCTCCGTACACTACCGATTTTAAGAATGCGTGGAGTTATACCGCCACTCACCAATGACTCATATCACTGCGCTCAATTTGAAAAGGGACAACTTTAACTTTGCCTCTGTCAGTTGGTGGTAAGCTTCTGATACGATTGGTGACCGCCTACAGGACGTAAACCAGGCTTGCAACGCAGATATGAAATTTCGACACGAAAACCATTCTCGGCCGGGTCGTAGTGTCATCCCAGCAAGGTAATAAAAGACACACAAATTGTCCTTAAGTATCGATGCAGCAAACAGAGCATGCACCTTCCTCGACCATTATCGCTCCCTGAAAATGGACAGCACGTAGCAGAAAGCCATATTCGACATGTCTTCAATGTATTCTCTCCACGGTAAGATGATGTCATTCAAGCACGTGACCGGCTTGGATCGACCGTAAGTTGTAGAACGAACGGGCCGACAAAATTCCGTGAACCAATTGAATAAAGTCTAAAAGACACAAAAAAAAGTGTGTAGATGACAAAGTAAGAAGTGATATTAGCAAGGATGCCAATCCTTTGAAGCCCGCAGCTCATATAAATAATATTTAAGAATTCAGTCCCTACCGCAAAGAAAACACTACACTTCACCATTACCAATATCGACTGGTTGATGGTGATCAAGGGTATAATAATAGCTGATATAGTGAGAATTACGCAAAACCCAGAGATACCCGCTGTGGGTAAAATGCACACAGCGGGAGTTTATGGGTTAGTATGATCTCAGAATAAACAGCCGTCTTTTCCTTAAACAGTGTTAATCACCATTACCCACTTCACGTTTGTAACGGAGATTTCTTTCAAGAACAGAAAGTTTAAATACTATTTCGACGATATTCGGGATTCCAACGGTAAAACAAAATCATAGTTTTAAAATAAAGGGCAAATCGGCTAATATAACTCCCATTACGTGTTTTAGTATCTCAAACACTGCGATACGCCGTTCGTTCTAAGTCTCAGAAATGCCATTAAATATGGATTTGTCACCTCGCCGCGTAGAACAACATACAAACTGCATTCATACGCATGCAGAACCGAGATTTGTTTAGTTGTTTATGCGCCAGAAAGAGACCACAAAGACACCGGCATCTGACCCGTTTTGGAGGTCACATACACGTAAGAGAGCAGATCCATAATTTTGATCAAAAGATCTTCCTTAATACAGAATAACGGTTTGAGGGAATTTAATATACAAGGGACATGTGACATGCGATACTTCTTTTGCCTACAAATTACACTTTAACACTTATAAGGATGAAATGGGTTACCCAAACTGATTATAAGAAAGGCCGATGTACTGAAATTCTGCGAATTTAATGTGCCCTCCAAATATAAAACGCATTCCAAACTTGAACGGCATAACTGAAGTAACATATTTTCGTGCCAGCTTTACGCCACAGAGTTCAGCGAATACTCTGGACGCTTCTCTAAGTAAATTCCCTCGGAGTTCTGAATACATTTTAACATTGCTTACAATTATTTCAGGCGCACATTTTCTCCGAAGATGTATTTTCAAATTGTTTCAAAGACGGTTATTTTCGAACAGCGAGAGGCAAAGATTGACACGAATACAGAAGTGTAACATTCTGAAGCAATTCTATAGAATTTTCCCATATGTAATATGCATATCTGAGTCTCCAAATTCCCCCCGAGAAAAATACAGTAATTAAATTTAAAAAAACGACAAGTTTTACTGCAGCTACGTAAATATCTACTGGAATACAATGCGAACCGAAACGTGGTCAATCAGTTATTCGGGAGTTACGTGGGTGAAAGAAAGGGCTCTATATATTCGAGATAATAACATCTGTGTTTAATACAGATCTGTCGATGAATATTCTGTACGAGATTAGAAGGAGACGGCACATTCACGACGACAGCCTAAGGCCTCGAGTTCAAGCACTCCTGGTCAACATTTCGCTGGCTGATTTGTATCGCGTCTTAAGATTCCTCTGCTGGAACATATGAGAGATGGAAGCGCTTGGGAACTCGGTGCGTGGGAGACGTGGGTGGGGATCCGGCCACAAGATAGATCAGTATCGGCCCTCCCACCTCGGCCTCACGAGCTACAGGTGCGCGATCCGACGTTCATTTGTTTTCTTCTTTCAGGGAGGCTATCGTGCCCTGGGTTTGTGGAGGTCGAAATAAAGCGTTTCAGCATTCTGAAGATGAGTTCGTATTCCCCCCAAGTGTCGTAGAAAAATACCAAGTTCTACAATTATACAGTGTTTCATTTGATTCGGGTGTTTTAATATTCTGTAACAACTACTAATGAAACGTTATACGATGACATGGCCGTGAACGGTTGACACAGATGAGGGAAAATAGGTGGGGGGTAAACGTTTACTCAAAGTTTCTCCACTTATTCCCCCCTCCGTGTATTACTCTCACCCCCTCTCTCTTTCCCGATCCGCTTTCTCATTACCTATTTCTTTCAAACTATGTTTATATATTACGTTTAACCCTTTAAGACCCAGTGGTAACTATATGTACCACCTGCTTCACACAGTTAATAACTCTGCATTTTGTATGTATGGGTTTCGTATTGTTCTCAGTGTAAACAGGGATTATTTCCTTAAATAGCGTCAACCAGTTGTCATTTGTAATGGTGAAATGTTGTGTTTTCTTCGCGGTACGGACTGAATTCTTAAATAATATTTAGACGAGCTTCGGTTTCAAAGGGTTAATAAGTTCATTACGTTCTGCAGCGCTAAATACATCAAAGCGGTAATTCCAGGCGTCGCCATTGTACTACAAGTCTCACAATTTGTAAAGGCACATCCGTGCAGCCAAGATACTGATCCGTAAAGGGTCGAACACCTCATATTGTTGTAATTGTCACGCGATAGATCGATAGTATCAAAAGCGTGCGACTACAACATACTGGTGAAGCGATCGACTGTTCCGATATCTTCGATTGTGGTCTGGCCTGGTCCAGGTGGAAACTCACCTTCCCAGACTCCACCCAGGTACTTCAGTTTATCTGCGCAACGTCACAAATCAAATGTTACGCTACCCAGGGATGTACAAACTGAAACACTCACTCTACCATAGGTCCTCAATATTTTCCATATTTGGGACCACGTTCATCACTGCCTATCGATTCGCGGGCAGGAAAGTTGTGTAAATTGAAGACAATTTACTAAAAATGCTAGTAACTGTTTAATATAAGCAGATTCAAACGGGATATTACTAAAACAAAACATATCTTTAACGCAATTGGTCATCAGTGACTTATTTGACAATTGAGTGATCTTTCAATATCACGTAAAACTTCAATTAGCGCAATTTTCATGCGCAGGTTCAAGACTTGATCAGACGTATCCTGGATCATCATCTGACCCCTTGAAGTTCGTCTAAATAACATTTAATTATCCCGTCCGAACTGCAAAGAAAATACAACAATTTACCATTACAAGAACCAATTTTTTAGCACTGATCAATTAAATAATCGCTGATTCTTCTGAGAATTAAAATAAACATAAAAATATACTCTGTGGACAAAATTCAGAATTACTGATTGCTAAAGCAAGTGGTACGTATAGTTACCACTGGGCTTTAAAGGGTTGATGTTCTTCATCAAGCCGCACATGTCCATAGAAAAAGACACCGTTAAACAGTAACGACGTTATCAAAGCGTGTTTTGGGAGTCAAAAAGTTTTATAACAGAGAAAGGCACAGAAAAACATTCGCGGGCCGCAGGCTGTAAACCACAGCTTACACATTCTGAGCTACTAATGGCAGCGTTGTAAGTGAATAAGTGAAATAAATATGTACCATCCCAGCGTACGCTTCAGAACTGAGGAAAACCATGAAAACAGTCGTGAAATCCTGGTATATGATATTCGCACCCAAAAGTGAGTAAATACATGTAAGTCACTTTTTCTCTTAAGTACGGCACTCGCGTCTGTCAGTTATCACTTCCATCACGAAAGAGATCCCTAAGTGAGTGGAAACGCGATCATTTCTCGCTTTCATGGATCATCGTGCCGTGATTGGCTGCGTCAGATCACTTCCCCCTCGGCCATTGACACCTTCATCATTCAAAAGATCCGTTACGAAGATATTTATCACTTACCCATTCAGAGAGCCAATCACTTCATTCAATAATTCTCGCCACTTCCGTAATCTCGGTTCACAAATTACTATCACTCTCCGTTTAAAAGAAGAAGAAGAAGAAGAAGTGAAACTTTCTCCTTCCGGACTTCAAACTACACAAAATTTCACGTTCCTATTCCACTTTAAGTTTTACTTGTTAAATTTATAAACACGAATATAAAACTTGCAGTACATACCAACGCATGAAAATCCGTAATTTCGCCAAAGACTCCGTTTTTAATTTTCACTGTACCTTTATACAGAGTTCAGCATGCGTAACATTTTGTACGCCATGAACGACAAAAACAGTTTTGTAATATAAATCCTCTTTAAATATCCGCACCGTCATTTATCTAATTTGCAGCTTTCAAGTAATGTGACTTACGTTGCCATGGACACGCACAAACAAAATTCCTTTCCAAAACAAATAATCTGTACTCCTTTTAACAAGACTGCAGGGAGCTCCCAAAGTGGAGCCCACACTCTCAGCACATAATGAGCATTTTCTTGAGCTGTCCGTCGGTCCGTCCGTCTACATTCCCACGCTTTGCTTTACAAAACCCCTCCCTCACGCAGTCTACCCGTTCATCTTTCTTACAGTTTCCTATTATTCATCGTCATCACAATTTCATCACCTCCTCCTACCTGTTTCTATCTTGTCTTCTTCCACAGTTCGATCTCAGCCCAGCCTCATTCACCATCAGTGGCGGACTGACCATCGGCCGTCATTTCACAGTTCTTAAACCGTTCCGAAGAGCACATTAAACATTTTCCAACATGCTTTTTTTAATTTTTACAGTAAGAATTTGTCAGCCCACAGTCCGAGGTGATGGACTACCCCTTGACGACCATCAGCGTCTACTTATAACATTTTTTAAGATACAGTCAATAAATTGGTAAAATTTTATTTTATTATACAGCCTAGCAGAGATTCCTAGTACCAAGTTTTGTCGAAATCTGTCATAAATTTTCGGAGATGAAACATAGTGACAGACATGATATCTCAATTGTACGTTCATTTAATGCACGTCGGGAAATTTTCTTATCAGTGATGTCATTTCCTAAGGAAGAAAAATACACATATTTTTGAAGTAGAAAAATATCTCTGACCCAATCCATCCTCGTTTGTGCATCCAGTTGCTAACGATCAATATTGATAGGTAATTTAACTTCTCGTTAGGGATTCTGACTCAGGGGACCCGTGTTAAATCTCGGGTGAGTTCAAGTGATATTCGTGGTGGACGAAATTGCACTGGAGCAGGTATTTCCTTCAGGTAATCGTCCAACCACTGCTCGAGACTCATCTGTCACCGCCTCACGAGGTACGCGATATCCCTGACCAAGCAGCAGTGTCACACCCTCGACCCTAAGTCAGGGACTTCATCTCTGACCCGATGCCTGGCTGGTCTCGGAGTAAAGGCAGTTCAAGATCTCGGCCAGTCGGACAGTGGCTCCCTACTCGTGCAGAACCGAGGGAATGATTGTAATAAATTCACGTCTCCCTCCGCCCTGGTCCAGGAACCAATTCACTTAGCTCCGCAGATTACGCTGTGCGATACGAAGAACAAACAAACAATAAACTAAAAACCTTTCAATTAGGCGATAAGTCGATCGCTGTTGGGACCACAAGTCATGCCTGTAAGGCTAGGAGAATTGGGTTTCATGGGAAGATCACTACCTGATTTATTAATTTGGGATAATGTACACAAACGATAATTATAGTGTAGAGAGACAGTATGTACAGCGCAGACAAACAAAACTGAGATTTCCTGAATGTAACACGCGACGTTTGCAAGAATTTAGGGGCTTGTGGCAAGCAGATGAGATA